TTATGTGTGATACCCCCAGATTCTCGAATGCGGGTTGGCCAGGTCCACGCCCGAATACCCAAGGATATCAAAACAAATTGATAATAAACGAACACAGAGTACAAAAGAATAAAGAAGAATAAATAAAATGTTGACAAGAAACTAAAATGATAATCTAATAATAAACCTCAGAATATATTTCCATTAATTACTAAACTCTTCTGATACAACTGATCCTCCAAAATACAACTCGGGAATCCATACTGTGTGGACCCCTAGAAAATCCAAACTAAACAAATGACAACAATAACTGTCTAAATCAGGAAACTAAATCATAAAGGAACTCCTATGTAGCATCGGAAGAATAAAGTAGACTGATCCTCGCTCAGCACGAACAACCTCTACTCCTGACGAACACCTGAAAAATAATGGTGGGTCAGGCCCACAAACAAGTTCTACTCTACTACAGTCCAAGCAGAGATCCGATACACGTATACATCCTAGTCAATCCAACAGTAACTAGTAGTCTGTATATATATATATATACACACTAAAAGAACCTCACTAGACTATAGGGTTGTCTCAACCTGAATAGTAGGTAACATGCAAAACGCACATATAGTGGGCATGAGTACCTAGATCTACCAGGGTACACAACTACACTATATCTAGCTACACATCCCTGGCGATATACGCGCCCTAATCACTGATCATGAGACTCAAGCTCATATCATGGCACCATACTTATATATATAAAGTCTAGTAACCATCCTATCTAGTATAAATTAATCCTCCATAAGTCATTCAACTTGTTCAGTTAACCTGACTTGAATATAAGTAGGACTTAACATTTTATTTAATCCATTCCCTTATATAATAAATTAATCATCCATAAATCATTCAACTTGTTCAGCTGACCTGACTTGAATATAAGTAGGACTTAACATTTTAGTTAATCCATTCCCTTATATAAAATAGGTAGGACTTAACTGATAAGTTAATCCATCCCTAGAATGCCACCGTCCCATACCGGTGCATTAAACCACACAATCCAACAATTGATGTAACGATTAAGGAAATACATCAAACAATTCAGAAATAACTATGATAATATGATATCAAGTTATCACAAAATAGGAATGACTTATTATATATTTAAGTTTGCTATATCATATGTCCCACACAAATTGAATCTTATACATGATGATATTTTATTATACCGTCAAATAAGCATTCTCCATATCCAATTTATCCTACACATCTAATCTTGATTGGTAAAACATTTTAAAAGATTAAATCTATTCGTTTGTATAAAATATTCAAATAGCAAGCATCATTATGATTGAGTCTATTTAAATTTATTTAAACCCAAACCTAGTTCCTATTTAATGTTCAGGAATCCTAGGCATATTTCTACGTTCCATCATTCCATATATATGAAAAATACATAATGTAAACATATAAAAATTCACACTGAAAATCTAATCAAAATCATGCATTTATCAATTCATAACACAAGAACAGATATGAATTAATTTCATAAAACCTATGTTCTAATCTAATTAAACATGCATAATTATTTAATTTTGTGTGTTTAAGAAATCCTGGAACTTCCTAGGCATGTATAGAAACACGAATCAAAGGGAAAGAGATAGAAGAAGAACTTGCCTTAAACTTTCGGATCGAAAGTTACACTTTTTCTTCCTTGATCTTCTCTTTACATGGTTTTTCTCCTCATTCCTTCCTTAATTTTCCTCTTTCCCTCTCTAACTCTCTTTCTCTCTAGAATATATCACGTGAATATTTCTAACTCCCTTTTAGATACTATAGCTATATATTTATAGGCTAAATAAAATAACCCTAACCCTTTTCTAAATCCAAGTCAACTTAAAAAAAATAAATATTAAAAAGGTAAGTAAAATATGTTACGTATATAATTTATGTATATCTTTATTAAATAAATAAATTATACACATCCCATTATTTATTAATGAATTATCTAATAATACTTGAGTTACCATAATATTATAAAGTAACTTAAAACATAACACGTATCAAATCTATGTATATTTTTATTATTTAAATATAAAACATATACATCAGATTAAATATTACTACCCAAGTTACCATAAAATAATTAACAAATTACTTTCCCTTTTATATATGTTAAAAAGGTAAGTCTAATATATTACGTATATTATTTATGTATATGTTTATTAAATAAATAAATTATACACATTCCAATATTTATTAATGAATTATTCAATAATACTTAAGTTACCATAATATTATAAAGTAACTTCAAACATAACACGTATCAAATCTATATATTTTTTTATTATTTAAATATAAAACATATACATCAAATTAAATATTATTACCCAAGTTACCATAAAAGTAATTAATAAATTACTTTCCTTTTTATATATGCATACAATATATATCTATATATATACATACACAACTATCCATGGGTAATAATTCATACACATCCAACCTTCTATCCAAGTAGTCCATGGGACCCAATTGGTTAGCCCATTACTACTAACCATAACCATAAAAGAAAAATAAAATAAAATAATAAAAGAAAAGAAAACATTTAATTTATAATTAATCAAAACACCATTTAAGCACATAATCTAATTAAATAATTAACACATAGACAAATACAAATAATACATAGACACATAATCAAATAATCAAGTAATATCTAATTCAATTAAACACATAAGCAATTAGTCAAATAATCAATTAAATAATTAAAAATACAATTAAAACAAATAAATAAATACCGAGACTATCCTTTTAAAATTAGGGGTATTACATGATGGTAAAGCAAACACACGCACACTTTTTTTACCCACGCTGGGGCTCAAACCCCTCCCTTTTTCTTTGAAGAAGGGGAGGTTATACCATTGGGCCAAAGACCCTTTGGTAGGTGGGTTAATCTTAAGATTGCCATACTAATAAAGGTTTACTTTATTTCTTCTTCTTCATTTTTTTTTTTTTTTTGGGACTAATTTGGTCCATAGAACAACTAAAGACTTTATTAAAATGGTATGTGCTGCTGTTTTCAAATGTAAGTCCATAAATAATAGACATGTTTGAACATGACTTTTTTTTTTTTTCTTGCCGTACAAAAACAAAAAAATAAATAATTATAAATGATTCATAATTAAAATAAATTTTATTTATTTGTGTATTTCAAATCAATTCTTATATCAATTGTATTGTAGTTTGAAGTGGATTTAAGAGGGTTGGACTGAAAATTAATACTTCACAAGCTGTCAGAACTCAATTTCTTTTATCTTTTTGTCCTTTATCTCATTAAAGTAGAAATGATTACATTTGCAAATTTGGGTAATGAAAGTTCATTTTGATTTTGGATTGAACAGATTATATATATATATAGATGTATTGCTGAACTATCAGAAGAAATAAACACAAGCTACCTTGCTGCCTTGCTACTAGAACCAGTTGTGCATCCCCATGACTTGGGTTATCAAGTCATGAGTTATCAACATTTTTAAGATGCATTAGTCTATTTCAATCAATTTAGTTTACGAATTGAATAATTTATGATTATTATTATTGTTATTTACCCATAAAAAAAATAAAATATTTTTTTATGACTTACTAGTTCTTCTTAATGTGCTTTGTACTTCATAGGCATGAGGCGAAATTTATCCAAAAAATTGTTCAAGAGATTATAAAAAAATTGAAACATATACCATTATATGTTGCCAAGTATGAAGTGGGGATAGATTCTTGTGTCAACAAAGTGATCGCTTTGCTAAATAATGGGTCAAAGGATGTGTGCACTGTGGGAATTTGTGGAACTGGGGGAATAGGAAAGACAACCATAGCCAAAGTTGTCTTCAATCGAATATTTCATCAATTTGAAGGTTGTTGTTTCCTTAGTGATGTGAAAGAAGTTTCAGAATGACATAATGGTCTAACTAATCTGCAACAACAACTCTTGAATGACACCCTAATGGAAGAAGATATAAAGATGTCGAATGTTCACTACGGGATCAATGTGATAAAGAAAAGATTATGTTACAAGAAGGTCCTGGTAGTTCTCGACAACGTGGATAGTGTGAAGCAATTAGAAAATTTAGCTGGAGCAAATGATTGGTTTGGTTTTGGAAGTAGGATCATTGTAACAACTAGAAATGAATGTTTATTGGTGGAGAATAAAGTAGATGAAATGTACAAGGTTGAGTTGTTGAATGATGATGAAGCTCTTCTACTTTTTAGTTGGTATGCTTTCACTAACAACCATCCCTTGGAGGATTATTTGAAACTCTCGCGAAGTGTGATAAATTATGCCCAAGGCCTTCCATTAGCTCTTCAAGTTTTGGGTTCTTTTTTATTTAAAAGAAGTTTAGAAGAGTGGGAACATGAATTGGATAATTTTAAAAGAATTCCTAATAAACAAATTCATAATGTTCTTAAGATAAGTTTTGATGGCCTTAACGACACAGAGAAGGATTTATTCCTTGACATCGCTTGTTTCTTCAAATGGTATGATAAAGATTATGTAATGGATATATTGGGTAGTAATGGGTTTCACCCACGAATTCCAGTTCTCATTGAACGGTCATTGATAACTATCTCATCATACAACAAGCTGTGCATGCATGATTTGTTACAAGAAATGGGTAAGGAAATTTTTCGTCAAGAATCACCTGATGATCCTGGCAAACGAAGTAGGTTGTGGTTTTATGAAGATATCTAGAAAGTCAAGAATCACCTGATGATCCTGGCAAACGAAGTAGGTTGTGGTTTTATGAAGATATCTAGAAAGTGTTCAGAGAGAATATGGTACGGTCTAACTATATATAAGTTTATTTGCAATTTTGATATTCATGTTGTGAAAAAAAAAAAAAAAGATTTCTCTATCTTTATTTCCATATATCTAAACAGTTGTGAACTTAGATAATTTTAAGGTTTTAACACTACATGGTAACTTACACAATGTTCTTGGTGATCAGGTGACCAAAATAATTAAAGGCATTATGCTTAACTTGCCTGATGATCATGCACCAGAGGAGTTACATGTAGATGTGGATGTCTTTGAGAAGATGAAGAAACTTAAACTGCTGAAACTCAGTGGTATACGATCTTGTGGACAACTTACATATCTTTCAAATGAATTATGTTATCTCAATTGGGATGATTACCCTGCAAAGTTTTTGCAATCCAATTTCCATCCAGAAAATCTTGTGGAACTTCGCCTTTGTCACAATCAAATCAAAGAAATACCATCAAGTATCAAGGTACGATCAGAGTTTATTTATACAATTATTTACATATGAATGGTATTGTCAGATTTTATTGAAACTGATTGATTTCTTTCATTGCTTGTTTCCTTTCCAGTTTCTAGAGAAGTTAAAATACCTTAATCTCAGTCACTCCTTATATTTGTATAAAACTCCTGACTTGTCTAGTCTCCCATATCTCGAGAAATTAAATCTTGAAGGATGTAAAAATCTAATTGAGGTCCACGAGTCGATTGGAGTTCACGAGAGGCTTGTTAATTTGGATCTTAGGGACTGTAAAAATCTAAGGAGTCTCACAAAATACATGAAGTTGGAAAAGTTAGAATCTATCAGGATGTTTAAAACTTAAGAAGTTTCCAGAGATTCAGGGGCGTATGGATCGTTTGCAGGAACTTTTTTTTGGATGAAACTGCTATAAAAGATTTGCCTTCATCAATTGAGATTCTTGAAGGGCTTCAGCATTTAAGGGTAGGTAATTGCCGAAAGCTTAAAAGGGTTCCAAGCAATATTTTTTCTAGAATGAAGGATTTAAAAATCCTTCACATGGGAGGAACCGCTATAGAGCAGTTACCATCGTCCATTGTGCAGTTGTATAACCTTACTTACCTTTATCTACCTGATTTTCAAAAAGTGTCTCCCAAAACACCAAATTCATTGGTGCCATTTTCATTGGTGCGAAAGAGAACTCCTCCTGCTTCAACTAATTATTTGCAACTGGAACTGCTCTCCACTTTGAGCACTTTAAGTGAATTAAATTTGAGGAACTGCAATTTATCAGAAGAATCCTTTCCCATGAATATTGGCTGTCTACCTGGTTTGCAATCATTAGATTTAAGTGAAAGCAATTTGTCTAGCATACCAACAAGGCTCATTCAACTCAAAAGTCTCAGACGCCTTGATTTGGAAAATTGCACAAGCCTCCGAACGTTGACTTCACTTCCGTCATCTATTGAATTTGTGAATGCACATGGCTGCAAATCATTGGAACGGTATTGGATTCCACCAAGTGGAATTGGTCCAAACAATCGCGAAGTGATATCCAGTGAGTGCCAAAAATTGGTTATGGATGAGATGGATAACATGCCAAATATATCATCACAAACTCAGCTTCAGGTTACTTACTTTACCTTTCTCTCTGTACATAAATATATGTATGTATTCAAAACTTGGGATCTTTATTGTGTTCGTGCATGGAACAGGGAATTCAATGGATCAGTTTTCCGGGAAGTGAGATTCTGCAATGGTTTAGGCATAAGAGTGAGGTTGAGGGGTCTTCTTTCTCTTTCGTGGTAGATCATCATCGTAACGTCAAAGGAATTGCAATATGTGCTGTTTTGGAATTTGTTAGAATTTACTCAACGATTGTATTTGATCTCAAAATCAACGGTTATTACGTGAGGTGGTCGGAGAAATATAGTCATTTGTATGGGAGATGTAAAGGCAATCACGTTATTTTGACGAAGGTAACTGAATATTCCGATGAGTTGTCTACACAAAAACAACCAATTAAAAATTTGATGAAGAAGAGACCAAAGTTCAGCCCAGGCCCTCCCAATATTTGTGATGATGACAGCTGTTACATTCAGGCTTCAGTTTTCTCATTTGACTACATAAGTGGCAGATCATCATCAGAACTTGTTACAGAAGTTGTTATACAAGAAAAAGTGAAGAAAATGGGTATCCATCTAATTATGGAGGAGCAAGGTGAAGGTGAGTAGACCTACCCAATAATCATCATATCATACTTTCATCACTCTCTTCAAACTCAATTCTTAAAATCATACCAACATTTTGAACTATCATATTTTTCATATATAATGTTCATATATACAGCAATTAATTAATTAATTGATTACTGTATTTGATTGTTGCCATTTTGTAGGTTAACACACAGAAATCCTAGAAGACATTTGTATGTTTGTGGAGCACCATCCTAGCATTAAGAGGCAAAGAAATGATCATTTGGATATTTTGATTCTCATTTTTGTATACAAGAAGCTCTGCATGTCTGTTGTAATAACAATTTCAATTGTGATGGAAAATGTTTTGTTGGTACGTACCAAAATCTTTTCGTCATAAATGGATTATAATTTCACATCGACTCCGGAAAATTTTTATTTATAATGATCACGTCATATTAAAAATGACTTCCTAGTAATACTGATGGGTCACTTTTCATGGTGGTCTTGCCGGTGATCTTGACGAAGGGTGATGAATATCTGGTGGTAATGGCAGCAGCAATGGTTCAATGATGGTTAAATGAGGAAGGGTGATGAATATCTGGTCATTGGAACTGCTCTCCGCTTTGAGCACTCTATCTGTTTTAAATTTAAGTGGAAGCAATTTCTCTAGCATACCAACAAGCCTCATTCAACTCAAATGTCTGGAAAGCCTTCATTGGGAAGATTGCACCCAATAATCATCATATCATACTTCCATCACTCTCTTTAAACTTAATTTCTCAATTCTTAAAATCATACCAACACTTTCAAATATTATAATTTTCATATATACAGCAATTAATGAATTACTATATTTGATTGTTGCAATTTTGTAGGCTAACACAGAAATTCTAGAAGACAGTTGTATGTTTGTGGAGCAAGAGGCAAAGAAAGGATCATTTGGATACTTTTGATTGTCATTTTCGTCTACGTTTGTTTTGATTGTCAATTTTGTGTGCAAGAAGCTCTATCTGTTGTAATAACAATTTCAATTGTGATGGAAAATGTTTTATTAATACATACCAAAATTGACACCTATGAATTTGTCTATTAAGCAAATTGACCTTAAATCGCCCAGGACAGAATATTTGACTCATATAATAATTCAGTGAAGATGCACTTAATCCTTTTAAAGCATAATTTTGAAACAGAGAAGTAACAAAATATATTCATCAAAAAATAATAAAATTTTCAGAAATAATATGTTTCATGAACTCAACATTCAATCTGCATCAAATTGTGCAAATAATCCAAATTAAGTTCAAATTATTATTTTTTGAAAGCACAGCTTTATTCTTGAATTTAATCTCCAAAATGCCCGAACCATTTAAAAATTTGTGCCATATGCATATCACTTTCTCTTTTCACATCTATTTAGGTGTGGGATCCAATGCCGGTTCATCATTTGAAGGAGTAAAATGACTAAAGACAAACAACCAATTAAGAATTTGATGAAGAAGAGACCAAAGCTCAGCCCAGGCCCTCCCAATATTTGTGATGATGCCAGCTGTTACATTCAGGCTTCAGTTTTATCAATTGACTGCATACGTGGCACTAGACAAGAAAAGAAGGTGAAGAAAATGGGAATCAGTCTAATTAGGAGCAAGGTGAAGGTGAGTAGAGATCCACCCAATAATCATCATATCATACTTTCATCACTCTCTTCAAACTCAATTCTTAAAATCATACCAACATTTTGAACTATCATATTTTTCATATATAATGTTCATATATACAGCAATTAATTAATTACTGTATTTGATTGTTGCAATTTTGTAGGTTAACACAGAGAAATCCTAGAAGACATTCGTATGTTTGGCGCATGTGGAGCACCATCCTAGCATTAAGAGGCAAAGAAAGGATCATTTGGATACTTTTGATTGTATTTTTGTATACAAGAAGATCTGTCTGTTGTAATAACAATTTCAATTGTGATGGAAAATGTTTTGTTGGTACGTACCAAAATCTTTTTGCTCATATATGGATTATAATTTCACATCGACTCCTGAAATTTTTTATTTATTATGATCACATGTCATGCATATTACAAATGACTTCCTAGCAATACTGATGGGTCACTTTTCATGGTGGTCTTGCCGGTGATCTTGAAAAAGGGTGATGAATATCTGGTGGTTATGGCATGCAGCAGCAATGATTCAATGATGATTATAGTGGTGAGGACGAAAGAATCTTCCCCCAATAATCCAACACGTACAATACATTAGTTAAAAAGACATAAGATGTGCTCACTTCTCATAGTATAGCACTAGGATTTCCTTTCTAAGCCACCCTCTTCTTTTCCTTTCTTTTCTGTCAATTCGAACTAAAATGCTAGAGTGGAAAGAGGCATGTTCAATGTCCTTGACGCTATATAATAAAGACCGTAAGGCGCAACTCAAGAGTAAATTAATATCACGTGCCCCAGACAAATCATGTCATTGGTAAGTTCACCCAATAAAATTTGTGGCACTTGTAAAAATTGCTAACAAATTGATATGGTACATTTTCATTCGTTGCATCTCTCTGACACACTCAATACCTTCTCGGGCAGAAATATTTTTAGACAATACATATGTTGGTGAATTGCAGCATTAGTTGTTTACCTTTCATATTATCTTTTTCTGTGTTGAAACTTTAGTAGACGTTACTTGATGAAAATGCTCACGGGTCTTGTAGATCATGCCTGGACGGACTATTTGTTCATCTATATTCAGATACTAATATAAGAATTAGTTTTTTTTTTTTTTAGTCTATTACACATCACATTCAATGAATGTGCAACCAAAACCTTTTTGAATCTTGTAACAAATTTTACTTACCAAACATGTTTCCAATCACTATTGAACACTCTTTATAAAAAAATAATAATAATAATAATTGTTTCTTTTTGTAATGAAAAACACTTGGGACATCATTGAATCATTAGCCTAACTATTATAACTTCTCTCTTAAGCAGAGGTGTGAGGGATTTAAGTCTTGCAGCGAATATTTGTGGATATGAGTGAGTTTTTTTTTTTCCAAAAAATAAAAATTTTAAAAATAAGGGAAAACGTATATATATATATATTTTTTTTCCGTTAAATATATTGCTAAATAAAAAGAATAAAATTGTACAAAAGAACAAAAGAAGCTCTCAAGGTCAAGGAACATACCCCTAGACTCGGCTTACGCAGTCACTATTGTTGAAATTTACTTTAGATCTTGTTAAGTTGTGAGGTCATGAGTCATGACTGATTTAATATTCGTTGATTAAATAAAGGAGTTTAATGGGAATATCACCTATTAATTTGTCTATTAAGCAAATTCACCTTAAACCGCCCAGGACAGAATTTTTGACTCATATAATAATTTAGTGAAGATGCACTTAATCCTTTTAAAGCATAATTTTGAAATAAATTCATCAAAGATATATAATAAAATTTTCAGAAATAACATGTTTCATGAACTCAAAATTCAATCGGCATCAAATTGTGCAAATAATCCAAATTAAGTTCAAATTGAAAGCACAATTTTATTCTTGAATTTTATCTCCAAAATGCCTCGAACCATTTAGAAATATGTGCTATATACATATCACTTCCTCTTTTCACATCTAGGTGTGGGATCTAACCTCGGTTCATCATTTGAAGGAGTAAAATAACCATTTTGCCTTTGGTGTCCTCGGGTTCGGGTATGGTCCCAGTTAACGATTCGGACTCTCGGATTCGGGTCGTTTAGATAGGATTATATTGAAAAGTGATACAATAGTTTTTATTTTATTTTATTATATTTTTTCTACTAAAATTTTTTTTTTTGCTAAACTATCATTCACTAGTACAAATGTTTTTAAAAAAAGAAAATACAGATATGGTATCCTTTAATATAATTTTAATTTTAATTTAATAATATAAGGAAGTCTTTTTGGATAAATTATACTCCCTATATGTAACTACCTGAATCCGAGGTTGTCTAAGGGCACTATGGTCAATTCCAAGGTCGATACATAATATACGTGCCACCCCAAGGCTTATACAAAAAAATCATGAGATCACAGCTACAAAAAATGTTAAAACAGTCCACTAACCGATCTAAATTTACGAAGGAGTTTCCTTCCTGTGACCTGAAAAAATAATTAATATAATGGGTGAACACAACCGCTCAGTAGGAGGTGTCTAAGACACACCTCTTAATGACCCCGTGAATCCATACAAAGCATAAGATAAAAGAAGGACGGGATCATATCATTCGCTCGCCGCCCCGGGGGGGGGGGGGGGGGGGGGGGGGGGGGGGGGGGTGAATAGGTCATCCAACCATATGTATACAATGCATGCCAGTGTAATGCAATGACATGCCAATGTCGCTCCCCATTTTCAAAACATTTCTGTTTCACCGTTCCAAACCATTAATGCAACTCGACCCATAGCACTTTTATGGTGCCACGAGAGAAGAATTGGTTAGCTATCCCCGATCACATGGCACCTCTATGGCGTCGTTTCAGGCCTAGGTAGCTCAACCATGCTAGAGTCTCTCCCTAATTCTCTCTAGATCACATTAACGCCATAGACCACTAGGCACCTCCTAGGCGTTCGGGTTTTCGCAAACCATTTCAAAATCATTCCCCAAAAATAATTTATTTTCTTTACAAAACCAATGTTATGCATGAATGTAACATGTCCTTCAATGCCATGACAATACATGATTTTCCATGATTTTCATTCAACAACAACAATATCAATATAGCATGCTTTGCGCTCGTCGACTTAGCCTTCAGTAATAAAGTCTAATTCTTAAAGGTTAAGTGTAGATCAAAGCTTGAGTTGCCAAAAAAATAAAAAATAAAAGAATTGCAGAGGGAAAGAGAGAGGATGCCAGAGATGAGAGAATATGAGTGCCATTACAATGAATGAAATAATGGCGGGTCCCATGATTCTAATAAAAATATTTTTTTAACATTAATATATACCCCCTCTGTCCCAAAAAAGATGTCATGTTTGGGGAACCATGATTCACAAATTGTGAGTCATGGTTTCCAAAACAGGACATCTAATTTGGGATGGAGATATATGTACATACAATAAACCCACCACAACACATGTATAAGCACATAGCCACATAAAATGCATCAAATAATAATGTATGAAACACAATGGATCCAATCAACTCTAGGAACTAAATCGGTATACCCCACAGGGTTTGACACGCAAAACGAGACAATGATTAAAATAATTCAAAATATTGAAAAATCCCAGAAAATGAAAAATTCAAAAAATCAGAAATATTACACTATAAAATCAGAAAGGTTCAAAAGTGGAGGGCAGCTTTGGTAGAGGCAGCAAATTTAAACGGGTGGGATTTGAACGATGTAGCAAATGGGTAAACTAACTCAACAAATTTTATTCTTCTTCTATATATATATATATATTGCCGTATGAAATATGTGCACTAGTTTAACTAAACAACTTTGGTTGCAGTACTTAATTAGAAGCAAACATGAAGCACAATTTATATTTTCAAATTAGCATTCTTTTTTTATTGAGAAAAATTGCACAATATCTTAAACTAAATTTTAATTGTTATTATTAATTATTTTATATCTTGGTAAATAACACATTAAAGCCTCAACCTCTCACTCTGTGAGGAGAGAAGATATCATTATCCACTATATTTTAATTTTAAGTGAGTGTTTTAATCTTTAAATAAATATATAGGTTAGTTTTGGATTTATTATTCTCAGTGAATAGCCCATCTCCTTATTTTTCTGTTTTTATTTTTTTTTTCTTTTTATGCCAAATTAGAATCAAACTAATCTGATTAAAGTTGAATATTTATTAATTAGAGTTATTATTAAGTTTTTGATGTTTCTTACCAAAAAAGGAAAAAAAAAATTTATGATTTCAAGTTTAATTGATAGATGGGTTAAACTTCATATTGCCAT